GTTTGCTTGTGCATGTGTTAGCGTGTCCGACTTCAGGTTGGCTACTGCGTGTCATTTGAAGTCACAACGGTAATCATTCGTCAGTTTCTGGCACGAAGTAGCCAACTTTAAGGGTGCATGCCAGAATGTGTGTGTGTGTGTGTGTGTGTGTGTGTGTGTGTGTGTGTGTGTGTGTGTGTGTGCGTGTGTCAACTTTAAGGGTGCATGCCAGTTTCTGGTTCGCAGTCGCCAACTTTAAGGGTGCATGCCAGAAAGAAAAAGAAAGAAAGAAAGAAGGAAAGAAGGAAAGAAAGAAAAAAAGAAAGAAAAAAAGACAGACACATAGGCAGTCAGACAGACAGACAGACAGACAGACGGACAGACACACACACACACACACACACACACACATACACAGATAGACAAACAAACAGACACACACACACACACACACACACACAGATAGACAAACAGATGGACACACACACATACACACASAYASACAMACASACRSACACAYACACACACACACACACACACACACACACACACCCGGATAGACGGACACACAGACAGATCGACGGACACACACACACACACACACACAGATAGACATACAAACACACACATACACACACACACACACACATAGAAGGACAGACAGACTTTGATTCTGGTTAATCCACCATGCTCACCAGACAGACAGACAAACAGACAGATTAGGAGACAGACAGAAAGACAGACAGATTAGGAGACAGACAGACAGATTAGGAGACAGATTAGGAGATACACAGACAGACAGACAGACAGACAGACAGATTAGGAGACAGACAGACAGATTAGGTGACAGACAGACAGATGAGGAGACACTGACAGACAGACAGACAAACGTACAAACAGACACACACACACACACACACACACACACACACACACACACACACACACACACACACACACAGACGGACAGACAAACTTTGATTCTGGTTCATCCACTTACACACCAAACAGACAGACACACAGACAGACAGACACACAGACATATAGACAGACAGACAGACAGACAGACAGACAAACAAACAAACAAAGAAAAAGAAAGAAAGAAAGAAAGAAAGAAAGAGAGAAAGAAAGAAAGAAAGAAAGACAAAGAAAGAAAGAAAGAAAGAAAGAAAGAAATAAGGAAAGAAAAAAAGAAAAAAAAGAAAAAAAGAAAGAAACATGTCAGACAAAGAAAGAAAGAAAGAAAGAACAAAAAAAATAAAGAAAGAAAGAGACAGACAGACACACACACACACACACACACACACACACACACACACACACACACATACACAGACAAACAGAC